CGACTCCCCGCTTTAAATTTGAATTGCGCTTTTAGTGTAATTTATAAGGCGATCTACCGTCATGTAAAATTATAGACATACAACATAGTTTCTAGCTGGTTTTGATTGGTCAAGTTTGTTTGAGGCTGTTAGGGACTGTGTCTTTCCTCCCCGTACAAAGAAGCAGGGAAGTTGTCGATAATCACGTGACCAGAAAACAGACTGTTTTTAAACTTGCAAAAATGTCCAGCATCATAATACCACGAACAAACATACAAGTTATTCACTGCAAAGTCTGCTAGCTACGAATATATAGCTCCATGCTACACCCCAAGTAACCTAATAAAGGTAATATCTTTGCAATATGTGTGTTACAAATTGTAGAAGTTTATGTTAAAGGGTTTATGTTCACATGTTGACCGATTTGTTGTTATAACCAGTGCAGAATAAACTCACCGTAGTGTTGGCATTTACCCAAGAGATATATCAAAAATTTGTCACTTTGGGCATGTCAATTTTCACTCAGTGGGGGCTCATTTTGATATTTTGATAGCAAATCTATGACCATTGATAAAAATGTCCGAGTCCTATATCAATTTTGGACATTTTAGCTGGGTACCAGGAAGACAGTATTTCTGTTGACGCTATGTTATAGTTTGCATGACAACATTCGGCCCGGCACGTTCTCTCCACTAGCAGGACTGGGGTCTTAGCTCGGCTCAGTCTTACATGGTTAAAAACAGAGGGTTGTTCTTAGTGATCAAATGGGGCAAATCTTGGAGAATTCAATATCAACCATAGAAAATCGAGAATCATTTTTGTTGTATTCAAACAAATTCAATGTGTCCGATAGAAGTTGCACATTCAGTTACATCCTTGTTCAAACGTGGAGAGAAATAGGGAAATCGAGTGCTATGTGAATATTTGTTATCAATGGGCTAAACCATGGAACTAATTTTGTTCAGCTCCATGACTAAGCGATACACAGGATACTGTCTATGGCTAAACCTCAGACTAGTAGTAATACAAATACATGTACTAGTTCGAGGCTAAACGGATACTGTAAAATACTTAATTTTCGCTTGGAATTAATTTTCGCTATTTTCACTGAAGAAATGATTCAGCAAAAAATAAAATCCAGCGAATACTAGTATACATTTTTTCGTATATTTTACATTCAACTTGTCAAAAATCAGTGAAAACAAATTTCACACGAAACACAAAAATAATTCTAGCTAAAATAAAGTACTCTACAGTACGTCACAGATTTGTATATTTAACTCGGCGTTTGCACCAATTCACATCTTTTGCCACTAATGGTACAAACAAAAATGACGAACCAAACATTGTGCCATGCTAGTGCTTCTTTGCACTTTTGCGTCAGAGGTTTCAGCACAGGACATTTAAATCGGCAATAGCTGCGATTTTAAAATGTTTGTTTGTTTAAATATAACCACATAAAGGCAACCAAATCTTACCGAAATATTGATTCAGAAACAATTGCATGGACAAAGTGACTCTACACAATGCTAAAGTCACATAACATGTGATGTGAAAACTAATGGCTGAGTAGTCATTTTGTTGATTCAGAAATGGGTCATGTGGCGTAGTGGACCGCAGTGAAAGGCCGCCAAAAGGAAGCTTAGCCTCTCAAGATAGCAACGTATTTGACATTTCGCCCAGCGCACACGGTAAGCCCGATGACACACGAAATGTGTTATTAAAATACAAATAGGAGAAAAAAGTTACAGATATTGCGGCTTTAAAACGTATAAATAAAAATAAGACATTTTAAAAAGTTTAAAGGTCTGCGGGAACCCTATTATTATGTCTGTTATCACTTTTAGGCTGTGTGAATTCGGAATATAACGAAATATCCCCTCGGGCTTCTCACACGCCATTGACGGCATTGCGGCATAACTCAAATAAATAATTAGTAGATTGCATTTAACCTATAACAAATATAGGAAATCCTGGCTCTATTAAAAAAGTTCGACAAATTACCATCAAGAAACATATTGTTAAAGTTTATGAGAATAATCCAACCTTGAAGTTCAACTATGGAATGCGGTAACAAACGTATAACAAAGGGCTGTCTTTTTAAATACATATTTCATATCTTAGTTTTTGTCTGCATTTTGTTACTCCACGCACTTTTTTTTTCTCAACAATATAACGCAATAATTTGTGGCACTTTTCCGTACATTTTCGTAACTGATTGGACTAGTTTATAGTATTAGCAACTGTCAATTTCCATATTTTTAAACGTTTTCTTGGGGGGTATTATACGTCAAAACGTCGACGAATGAGAAGGCGATTTCGGAAAATGGGTCCTCTTCCTTCTATGAACGTGGCGTCATTAATCCCCACACAAACATCGACGCCGCCTCGGATCCAGTTCGTCTAATTATTCACTTTCTGGTTTCATCAAGACTCCTGCAGTAAATTCGACGAGGTTGATATCATTATATCTGAACTTCATCTGAATGTGCACAATAATCTTACTTTTCTTTAATAGTGTTAACAGGTTGGGCACTGTGTCAAAAATGCAACATCAGCAACACCGTGACAGCTCAGATTACGTGTATTATATTAAAAGTTATCCTCCCTGTCTCGAATATTTCGCGATGTGAAACAAACAAACAAACACACAAACTGGAAGGCACTCTGAGGGCGCAAACCCTTCAATAATATCTCATAATGTGTGTCTTCTGATGACAAGACACATTTATCATATTGACATCGGCTTCTATTTCTTAAAAAAGTATAATCTCTTAGGTCATGTCTTAAGGTCATCCCCTCTAAAAATTTAGCTACCTGGTAATGAATAATCAATGAAAACTCTGTAGTTTTATGGCAACGAGATCTCAACCAACCCCGATTTGTACTTGTTTTCTACGCCTCTGAAAATGTTGTGACAATTTGTTTATTTGATTATTTATTTATATAAATTGAAGAATCATTTCGACAATTGTTGTTTCCAAAGCAGCGGAGATCCAGTACTTGTGTCAAGAGAAATACGGTGCTAAGGGTCTAGACCGCGTCTTAAATTCGGATCAGATTTAAGCCGTACTTAGCATTTCTTAGCCCGTGCTAAGCGTTCACGCACGTTTTCTTAGCACGGGCTAAGGAATTTGACCTCTTAGCCCGTGCTAAGGAGCTGTGCGTGAACGCAACTACTATCTTGCCTTAAAATTTCATGAAAATCCACCCATAATTGTTTTGGTCATCCTGTCGCCAGGGATATGTAGATCCGTTTCTCGACCTATTTTGAACGCTCCCTGCAAATTTTACATGTAGATGTGGTACAAGCTTAAACAAGAAAGGATGCGGTGAGCCATTTTTTTGAGATTTGTATAGGAGCCGATGCAACACAACAAAAAATAAACATAGAGACCACCAGATATTTTTTTTTAAATTGTCATTTGACTAACAAAGGACAACTTATTTTAACACTCAACAACTTTAATGTGTACAAATGATATAAGTAAAAAATAACATTGAAAGAGGATAGAGACCTTAAGTAAATTCCAAACAATATATAAACTCATGACCTCATATATCTTCGCCACAAAATTGAAAACAATATAATTGATTGATACATATCAAGGTAAATACAAAAAAAAAATACTAAGTTACTGCTAAATGTGAACTATATCGAATTAATGAAGGCTCGTATTTTGACCAACAACATCCCCAAAATTTATATATACTAAACTAGAAAAACAAATATTTATATATTTATATATACACGTTCAACTTATGACTCTTATGACAAATTAATCCACGCCAAAAATATCCTTTTTCCCAAAGGTTGAAGGCAAAGTTACCCCATCACACAATTACAGCAAAATCATCACGTAACTTATTTGCAGCATATTTTATCATGTATCATTTCTCGCCAACAGAGTTGTATCCAGGCATATTGGCCCGGTCGTCCGAGGACGGAAAGTAAGTAAACTCCCAAACAGGGAAAATGAAATAATAACAGCAGATTTAAATTACTTGATTTTTTTACTCCGGTGTTTATCGATATAATGACTGACATCTGTTTTTTAAAGTTTCCTGGTCGTTTGGTTTGATGCATGATTTCCTGGTAGTATAAAAATTACTCCAAAATGGCGCCAGACTTTACTGTTGTAGTTCAAAAACACTAAGGTTCGGTCGGCGGCCTCCAACTTGCTGCACTATCTGAAACCCCAGAGTTACTAGTAACATAAATTCACATACAATCATTGTAAACGTGTACCTGGCATTTGTTTCATATTAATAAATGTAAATGACAAGTTAATGCATGATTATATCACAAATCTAATTCACCAATATGTCGAGAAATACATCAAGGTGTATGTTTAAAATATATAATACTAACAGAATTACAAAGAATTATATTATATAAAGAACAAAAACAGTCATCTGGCACGTTGACTGTGATATACCGAAACCTAGTGGCCCGGCGGACTATTCATGGAGGCTTTCTTTTACACATAAACTTCTCAGATAAAGGCGGGGGTTTCAGGTTTTATTGGCTCATACGGGCGTGTGCACACTCTTAGACGATTTTTTTCTTGTCTACGCGCATGCTCTGTGATTGATCAAGAAGCCCGGTAGATATTTGTTTATGCTGGCATTGGCGTAAGGCCCATCTAACTATAAATCACGGGTGTATAAGATAGAAGTCGAAAATATAATAACAATAACAAATATATATACCTTAAAATTAGTTAAACAAAAGACAAAGCAGACATACTACGCCCCCATGAAACAAACACGGTGTCACACCCGGAAAACATTTGAAGGGGCCGAGTAATTGCACACCTGATTCAGAGGGACCTACACTTATCAAAACAACTATCGTCAAAAGAGCAACGATAAAAAGACGAATTTGAAACATGACTATCAATCATTTGAAAGGTATATTCCTGTAGACGGTGTACAATGACTAAAACAACAACGAAAACCAAAGTGGAAACCTCGGCGGGCTGTGGCCTGTGCTTGTCTTCTATTCCGTTCAAACTTAAATAGCGCTATCCGCCGATAATTATAGAAAAGATTTTCTGACAATAACTGAAAGTAGCACGGGATAAGTTTTTCATAATTATTAATCCGTGTATTTACTGACACAAAATGCCTCTGCCGCACCAAATAAACACACATAATATAACAAAATGTATACGAAACAGAACTCGTTTTCATTCATTCAATCAATCTATTTAATATTCATCCCCATGAAAATATCATTGAAATGGCAGCCGTTGTAAATAACAATAACAGGGCCATTCAAAATATTTTTTATGAAGTATTTTTATGGAACATTTTATGCTAATCAGCTATCTTGTAAAACGGAGAATTATTCTAAGCTGGAAAAGACAGAAATAGGTCATAACAGAGACAGTTAAACCGATTTCAATGTACAGACAAAGTGGGCGGGAAAGCCATGTAATATCATCAGCTACTTCATACGTTTTCACCTTATTCCCAGAAATACTCACTATTCAATTTTATAAATCATTTTAATAAGTAACATGATATGTCTGAGGGGTCTACGGTGTATGAATTTCCGACTACTATAGTCGTATCGTAGAGGTGCATGCCGGGAAAGTTAAACTACCTGCGCGCCACAATGACGATATGTCTATCCTTCGTATAGAGTGACGAATATTGATTTAGTTGCGAAATATGATCGACTACTACATCTACTTAATTATGGATTGTACTGAACTAGTTTAGCCTCCCACGCCCACGATACTACACCGGAAATGGATCGTAATATGGGATAAGCGTACGCCAGACAAACCCCCGGACATTTCAGTCTATAGTTTATGGTAATCCAGAACTGACGACCACAAAACATGACATTTTGTTCCAGACTCGCAAATCTTAAATTAATTTGAATATAAATAATTGACTATACTTAGTTAACAGACACACGACTCTTTGGTCGTTTCGAAACTAGTCACTATATCTTTTTACAGCTAATACAACTTAAGATACTCCTAGCACATATGTACTTCGTTAACTATTAAAACAATAGATTGTTATCATATTGGTACATTTTCACAGGGAGTTCGAGTCAAATTCAAGAATATATTTACCGAAGAACAAGTGCAAAAATACAAACTTTAGTTTTTTGTCCTCTAGGACTCTTGAATTTCGAAAACTTGTCTGGTGACCCCAATTGGTTTTGTCACCTTTGACCCATAATGAAAGCATGGGGGAAATAATAACGATATATAATCTTGTGTCTATTTGCCCCCACACGTGAAATTCCAAGTGTTGTATTATGTAAAAGCAAACATGGATTAAACCATATTATAAGTATTACTAGTATCCCCTATATCTAGTTTTCGATAACTACATGAAGACATATGGAACGTCAACTACTGAGGAGGAAATAGGATTATGTTCCTCGCTGGCTCAGTTCATGAAATTTATAGACTTAGAAATAATTTTTATGTTCATAAATATATAATGAGATTAAATAAACCTAATTTAATCGCTTGCCACCAGAGAGCGAAAGTTTTTGGATATGTATGTAATATATCATCATCATCATCATCATCATCATCATCGCAATGGCGCTACAGGTCACGTGATGATATTACGTAATCATAATCATACTTCAAGTTATCATCGACCATTCGACGCCAAGTGTAGCGTTGAGTATGTTCCTCGTTACTGTTTGAATATAAATATATGTTTTCTTTAAAAAATATCAACAACTCGTTCAGCATATATCTTCAGTATTTACTGACCGGCAAAATAGAGTGCCATCTGGCGGTTTCTCGCGCACGTGGCTGCATGGCCTCGTTCCAGTGAGCAATGCCCGATTCTGTGGTATCAGGGCCAATCAACACGTGGCCGACCACACCGTGTCGCGAGTAAAAACGTCCCTTCATTAGAATGAACTCTAGCGAATAGTTGCTGACGTGTCTGTTGTGGATGTCGAACAAGAACGGTTCGTTCCAAACGGGGGAGTGACCGCTTTGTAATCGAGTTTCTTTTGATTCCACCACTTTGCCTTTATTCGTCAGATTTATTACAACATGGTGATCTGAAAATAAAAAGAAGAAAAATATTATACCACACATTTAATAATATTTAATAAGTCACACTGATACGCTCCTGTAACGTCAAAATAACGTGGATGGATCTCAGTAAAGTCGTTTAAATAAACTTCGTTTACTTTCACCATTTAATTGCTTAGTCGTTAGTTTCGATTTTGATGAGCAAATCACTCTAAAATAAGATAGAATTTCTGGTAGCGGGGGGGGGGGGGTGTCAAAGAACGACGCCGCGAATGACGCCACAGGAGGGCTTCATTGCTAGAGGGCGCTGTATAAATGGTTATTGCTTGTCAGTGCATTATTACCGGTCAATTGCTTGTGGGAATGTGTACAAGCGAGGTGTTGTGAGTACGAGAGGCAAATCTTAGACTGACATTTTTTAATTGATTTATTTCATATCCAGTATTGCTATCCACTATGAGGTAAATGTTATTATTTTTATACAACCTTATTTTTTAACCACATGGCTCACAGTTCCTCTATAGGAAGCAAAATCGTGCTTCAAATTTACAAGTTGAGGCAAAAACTCCTTGAAGGGCATAATCGACATTTTACTGAAATTTAAGAGACACTTTGACCCACAGCGGAGTATGTTATGACAGCTACCTGGTATATCTAACACCTGTACAAATACTCCTAAATAACAAACAAACAAACAACACATCAACACATTGATCAGCTAAGTTGCTAATAGT